AGGGAAAGCATTATGCCACTACTCACCCTGTATCACCCATGTGCTTGTGAGAAAAAGCCAGGATATCTGCAGCTCTGCCAGTGCCCTCATAGACCACGACGGGGACAGCTGGGCTGGCCCTCATATACTCCCACACCATTAGGATCACATTGGGGCCTCCTTCGACCACCAACCCAACTATGGGTACACCTTGGCCCATTCCTGTTTCAAAACACACTTAACCAGTTACAAACAGGTTGCAGTCACACAAAATATCGGAACAGCAGGTAAATAAGTATTCATGAAGGATTCTCATATAAGGTTCAATGGAAAGGAAAGAATGCCTTCATGATCTTTCACTTATCTTATACTTTTTAAGACTTCCACAGAACTTTTGCAACCAGATCAAAAAGACCATGAAAACCTCATGATAATATTGTAAGCAGCCCTAGCATTGGAAAGAAGAAACATCCTTCAGAACATTCTCTACCTTTACAATAGCTCTTACATACAAGGACATTGAAGACTTTTGAAATGCTGTCAATATCCATTTGTTTACCTACACATACAGAAAAGTAATCAGGCACTTCTTTACAGACTTTCTCAAGTTTCACAGCAGCAGGGTGGGTTGTTTTTTTTTTAACAATCAGAAATAAATTTCAAGTAAGATCCAATAGAAGTGAAAAACTAATAGTAAGAGAAGACATAAGAGGCTGAAGAAGGCAGGGGAAGAAAAATCCAAATTCCACTAATTGTGACAGTTTTTCCACCTGGCAAAATGCTGGAAATTATCTAGTGCTGATATGGAGACCATGCAAAACTGCAAAGTGAGCAATGCTCAATACACACTAAATAATCTGAGTTATTTAGATGTCTCTACAACTGAGAAACCAAGACGTGAGTTAGTCCAAACGCACAGTATTTTATAAAAATGCTGTCCTTTTAATTCTTCTGATATTCAGAGTTCAAGACACATGCAGTTAGTAACTTTCAACCTCAGTGAAATCTACAGCAACTGAAGATGTGCAGCAGGTAACAGTACCTTCAAGACTTTTAGGATAGTTTTTTTCTGTCATAAACCTGACCAGAGCAGTACTTACTTGTATGTATTTTTTGAAGTGATATGTACTTCTCCAAATTCCTCCTGAGCATCATTTCATTCCCATACTTGCCTACTGTCCCATCATCTGCCATTAGAAAATGAGAATGCATGCTGTTGAGGGTACTTAGTTTGCTGAGTGGATTACCAAGAGTCTGGTACAGGCAAACTACCTAAGAAAACAGAACAACAAAAAAAGGCCTTCAAATAAAGCAGCAACATATCACCAGTTATGCTGGCTTGTGTGCATTTCTGCATCATGTTGTAATCTTACAAAAAGTCCCAATCATGCTTTTTCCTGCTCTATTCAAAGACGGGTTTTTTTTTTATTCTTTACATCAACAAAACCACAATTAATACCACAGAAAGCATTTCTGATTAGGCTTGCAGGAATGTTTTCACCTTTCTTTTCAAGTGGTTTTGGAACTTCATGTAGATTGTGCCCTCACACTGGCACTCATATAAAGTTCTAGTTTATTAATAAAAAGAACACATACTAATAGCCTATCTGTGTATACCATTAACATGATAGCTCACCCTGAATCACATTAATACAGAAATACATCATTTGCAACTACAAGAGAATTACCTACTTAATTAAAAAATTAAAAAAGGAATGGCAATTTCTTGTAGGAAGATAAATATTTTTAAACTATTCATTTATGTACAAAAAGCAAAATACAGTGCCCCAACATGCCACAGGATCCTACTGGTGAGCAAAATCTAGAGAGAAAACATGCCAAATCTGAAATGAAGCAAGTAGAAAATAAAGTATGCAAGAAATCTATAACATCCCCTGAATATGAAGGTTTGTATTATGAAACATGTCCAACTCACATCTTTTCCAATTAGATCCATCTGGTTCTCAATGATTCCCCATGGAGGAATCCCAACAGCACAGATCTTTTTCAGGTGTGGTGAGGCACGGCCTTTCAGTGCATCTCCCACATGCCTGGACACTCCTAAACAGATAATTAAATCATCATTTTTCTTCTACATTTAGAGATCTGCTACATGATACCAATGAAAATGTTTCCCCTAATTTAATTTATTCTGTGGTTATAAACCATAAACCATCTCACCCCACCTGTATACTTTACATGCACTGAAGGAATTGCAAGGCTCAGATGTAATCTGAGCATCAACACTTCAAACTCAACACATATTTACAACTAACAATACTCATATATGCTACTAACAGTGCTCTCTACCTCCATAAACAAATTATTATTTACATAAATGCACAGAACACTTCTCCTCTAAGGTCATTGGATTGAATAACAGCTAAAGAAGCAAAACTCTTTCAGATCCATGGTTATTGACCCACACAGTTTTTGAGAGCAGCTTGCAAAGAGTTTCAGATACTTATAGGTTAGTTAATGGAATACCATAATTTAAAACTTTCAGAATTATAAAACACAAGTTAACTTCAGATTTGAAAACTGGTTCAAAAACACCAATTGCCGTTCTCACTATACAAATACTTTAATGAAACATATAAAATTGACTGAGAGTTCTGGTTATCTATTATCAGTGTTTCCTGTTACAAGCATAATACTCTGTTATTTAATGAGAAAAAAAAAAAGTAAAAATATTCAGAATGTCTGTTAACACAGCAGAGGCATGTGATGTCACTTCTTGAATTATGAATTGTTCCTCAAAAAAAAAAAAAAAAAAAAAAAAAAAGAAAGAAAGAAAGAAAGAAAGAAAAAAGCAAGCTTAATATTTTATTCCAATATCACAAATTAGAATCATAGAATCATAGAAACATTAAGGTTGGAAGGTGCCTTAAAGATCATCAAGTTCCAATCCCCCTGCCACAACCAGGGAACCCTACCATTAGACCAGGTTGCACAAAACCTCATCCAGCCTGGCCTTAAAAATCTCCAGGGAGGGGGCTTCTACAACCTCCCTGGGCAACCTATTCCAGTGCATTACTACTCTCATGGTGAGCAATTTTTTCTGATACTTAACCTAAATCTCCCCTTTCTCCGTTTAAAACCTTTACCCGTTGTCTTATCACTATCTCCTCTGATGGAAAGCCCCTCCCCAGCTTTCCTGTAGGCCCCTTTCAAGTACTGGAAGGAGCTATAATGTCTCCCCAGAGCCTTCTCTTCTCCAGGCTGAACAGGCCCAACTCTCTCAGCCTGTCTTCATAGCAGAGGTGCTCCAGGCCTTTGATCATCTTGGTGGCCGTGCTCTGGACCCACTCCAACAGTTCTGTATCTTTCCTGTGCTGAGCACACCAGAACTGTACCCAGTGCTCCAGGTGAGGTCTCACCAGAGCAGAGTACAGGGACAGAATCCCCTCCCTGGCCCTGCTGGCCACACTTCTTTTGATGCAGCCCAGGACACAACTGGCTCTCTGGGCTCCAGCAGACACTGATGGCTCATGTTGAGCTTCTCATCTACTACCACCCCCAACTTCTCCTCAGGACTGCTCTCAATCCATTCTTCCCCCAAGCCTGTATTTGTGCCTGGGGTTGTGCCAACCCAGGTGCAGGACCTTGCACTTGGCCTTGTTGAACTTCATGAGGTTGGCACTGGCCCACCTCTCCAGTCTGTCAAGGTCCCTCTGGATGGCATCCCTTCCCTCTAGGTTGTCAACTACTCCACACAGCTTGGTATCATCAGCAAACTTGCTGAGGATACACTCAATCCCACTAGATGTTAAACAACACTGTTACCTAACAATTTCATCATATTTGTGCTGAATGTGTATGTTCATATACAAAGAAAGAAACCAGTGGAAGACTGAAACAAATAAAAATAGTTACCACTGTTTATGCCTTCTGTAATTATCCATGCTCCTGTAGTCTCAGCAGCCTTCACCAATCCTTTGCTGAAAACCTGCTTGACCTTTGAGGGAAGCTTGAAATTTTGAATGCCTCCATGAACAGAGATCACTAGCTTGGGCAACTCCATCTGCCATTCTTTAACCATCAGCTGCAACAACTGATCCAAATTGCTATCATAAGAGAGTCTAATATACTGGAAAATACAATAGTGGGTAAAATAAACATTATTTACGTAATTCAAGAGAAGAAACTGCAACATCTCACACAATTCTCAGTATTAATATCTTAAAGATTTTGTGCAAGATTAGAAAATAGTGCTAACATGAATAGCACAAAAATACATCAGTGAGCAATACAAACAGCAAGACAGACTATGCTTAATCATGGTGAAGTTCAATGTAAAAGTATCATACACACACTGTAACCTGGCTTACTTTAAGATTCCTCTGCTCTGTTAAGACAAACAATCTGATATTCACCCAGAACCACTTCTTGTCCTTTATACATTGAAATTAAAGACATCAGACATATACAAGCCCAGCATCTATTACCTTGGCATGGTAAGTGTGGTCACCATCTTGAAAATTGATTGTACCAAATGCATCTGTTGGACTTGTCTTTGTGTGTTTTTGCACAGACCATTCTTCATCACATCTTTGTGGGGCAGCCTGATCAATGGGCCAGCTACAGTCTACTCCTGGGTGATCTCCAATCAGCCGTCCACAGCAACATCTCATATTAAAAATAAAGACATTATTTTCTATAACACACTTGCATACAACTCTAGGACCTTCAACAGAATAGCCCAAGTAGGTTTTCTGCAAAGAAGGATATTGTAGATTACTGACATGAAATATAATAAAAATTAACTCAGCTGAAAAAATGTCACCAATGGCAAAATAACACTAAGTTAAATCATAAATATGTTTTGTCAGATGCAAAATTTGTTTGCTACCTAATGATCACTGACAAAAACTTGTGGGTTGGGCTAGATGATGTTCAAAGGTCCCTTCCAACTGTGATTCTGTGTGATGCTGTAACAGTCTAAGAATCCCATATAGCTATTTTGACCCTAGCAATGCAGCTCAGATTTACTGGTCTTGTATGAGAGATTTCAGAGGAGTATCTTAGGACATGAAAATTTCACTGTGGTTATTATCACAGATTATTATCACAGGTTATTCTAGGTACTGAAGAAAGATCTAGGAGTTACTGTCATTAATCAGGAGGAGAGGAGCAACCCTCATGATAGAGAGAACTTCAGGGTGATCTTCATACTAACCCTTGGATGCCAGCAAACTGAAAACACAAAATAAACAACTGAAGTGAAATGTCCAAAGAAATTTAGTAGAAGCTCAGGTAGCATCTAAGGCTTGAAACTGGATGAATAACCCACATTCCAAATTAATTCAGTATTACTGTCATGCAGGCTTCAACAGGCTCCAGTCTCTTTTACAGGATTAACTTCAATGTAATTTATAGTGACATCTGACAGTCCGAATTTCCTTTAGACATTTTAGAAGTTAATATACTCTGGAGAATGGAGATAAATCCTTCACTTTTAGTCATTTAAGGTACCAACAGCCCAAACTCAGTGACTGCTTTGTGACTCAGATGTATTGCTTATGGATCTAGGGAGAGGTTAGACATAAACAACATCTGCAAAAATCTGAATAGGTACATTCAGAAAGAGAGTTTTCTGTGGACATGAGTGAGAACTAACTGCTGAAAAGGAAATAAATAAAAATAACAGACAAGAAAAAGCAAACCTCCAAAACACCTTAAGTACATTAAAGAAGCTAACTGCTTTAGGAAGGCACTTTTTGATAACCAGAAACCACACAAGCATGTTTGCACTTCAGTTTTTCAACACAGGAAAATTACATTTGACTGATTTAATTCCCTGCAAACACAGACTGGAGAAGGAAGCCTTCCACACTCCTGGGGAATTAGTAACTCAATTAAACGATCTTATTCAGTAGATAATTAAGAGCTGCAGAAGCCCTGCACTGCAGAAAAGACCTGAGCTCTGTTGTCACATGGACAATGATGATTAGCAAGAAAACAGAAAGTAATAAGGACTGCAGAAAATTACTAATTTTTTTGTCAAGCTAATTCAACATAGATTAGTTAACCTGGAACCTACACCTTTTCCTAGGTGAGTCAAATAATAGAAAATCACAGAAAGCCAGGGTCTCGCCAGAAAGAAGTCAGGTGTGTACTCCCAACAAAATTCTGGAGGGTTTTATTGACAAGTTAGTGTAACCAGAACTATTTTCTGATGTGGCTCACTGCATGACCCCACAACCATTTGCATCACAGTGGTGGCAGGAAGAAGAAAAAAATAAAAAATAAAGATTAGCAGAGGGGACACAGGAGCTGCTGAAACAAAATACTGATCTAGGGACCTAACACGGATGACCCCAAAAGCAAAACCCTTTGTATTTTTGCTTCCTCATAGACAAAACAAGACAAGCAGGTCAAGGCTCATGAGCTAAACAAAAAGCTGAAAGTTGGAGAACAAGCCAGTCACACTCAGTCACTTACAGATAAAGAATTAAATAATTGATTCAGAAGACTGTGAGGAACACAGATGGAAGATCATTGCTAACATTGTGTTGTCAAACAACATATGTACTCAGTATCCACACTCAGAGTCGCTATAGAGACATATCTGAACCAGAAGTGTTTCAGAGCTATGTAGCTGCAAAGCAGACAGTTCATGGGAAGCAGATTTTGGTAAAATTTGCTCACAAGAGGCACAAGACCAATTACTATATTTCTTTAAGACTTGCTCTGCACATTTTAAAGGACAGATCAGATGAAAACAGATCATTTTGATTTTATTACTGGTCTTGAAGAGACCATTTCTCTACAGCTGAGCTATTAAATTTTTTCTGCTCTCTTTTTAGGGAGACTCCAAGGTAAGAGACAGTAACTGTTGGAAAAAAAATGAGTTTCAGATGAAAGGTATGAAAATATATAGATAGCCTATTGTTCTTTGGTCCGGAAACAAACCTGTGATCATTGTACTGATCCTAGAACACTTTCACAATAACAAGACCGTTCATCCAGAAGTCATTCTTAAAGACAGAGAACTAATATCAGTCCCAACCAAATACTCTATTACTCACTTAGATACCATATTACACCATCAGACTCAGAAAATAGCAGTTCTTGGAAGGACAGCACTGAAAAGCAATCAAATTCATCATCAATGGATTACATTTTCTAAAATCTTTATTAATTTCAGCCCATCATCAAAATAGGAGCACAGAATTGCTCTCTAACATTACTGTTCCACACAGGGTCACATCAGCAGCCCTCTTAGAACAACAAGAGCCAGAGCAACCTGCCTTTTCAAAGCTAAGAACCAATAGAAAGGAGCTAACAATCTGACAAGACAAATCAGTGCAGTAACTTTGAAAGTGACAGGACAAATGAACACTGGACTATTTTAGTAATTAACATCATTTCCACTACATACTTAACACTTACATGTAAATGCACCCAGAAGTAAGCTGCACTCAGAACAGCTCAATGTGCTGAGCAGGCAGTGGAGGAACTGCACACAGAGCTAAGCAACAGGTGTGCAGGGTACATGCAACTGCGTTTACCTCAGAGATTACAAGAGTTAGGCACTCAAAAGGACTGGTATTTCCCAAATTGCTCATGCGCTGCTCCAAGTTGGCATCCTTGCTCACCCTAGCCATCTCACAGAAAGGGACAAGGTGCTAAGGACTCATGAGGTACCTGGGATGTCAAAAGCCAAGACTAGGGGTTCTCAGGAAGGTTGAGAAAACCAAAGGAGAATATTACACACAGCTGCTTGGGTTTTTTTTCTGTAAAGCTTTGTGCTGTGTGCTTAGTGACAGGGCTCAGGGAGGATAGGAGCTACCAGCCAGGAATGATGGTTGAGTCAGGATCACACAGGAGTTATCAACTCAAACATGTCCCTGGGACTCACTGGGCTGAACCCTAGGGTGCTGAGGGAGGTGGCTGGTGGCCTTGTGCAGCTGGTCTCCATCAGCTCTCAAAGGCTGTGGAGATCAGGGAGGACCCAAAAAAACGGTGAAAAGCATATGAGACTTCTGCCTTCAAAAAAGGTCAAGAGCCACCCTCAGGAACTGCAGGCTGGCCAGCCTCCCATCAGTCTCAAGTAAAATCAAGGAGAAAGACCTCCTGGAGCCAGTATCTGGACACAGCAGGGAGACAACAGTGACAGGAAGCTGTTGGCAAGGATTTGCCAAGGGTAGCTCATGCCTGACCCACCTGTCGTCTGTGACAAAATCATGGGGATGAAAGGAGAGCAGCAGATGCCACCCATGCTTGCTATAGCCAGGCTTTTGGCACTGCCTCTCCCTGTATTATTGTACCTGAGCTGGGACATTAAAATCTGGGCAGGAGGACACATTGGTGGGTGAGGACCTGGTCGGCTGGTGGGCTCACAGGTTAGTAGCTATGGGTCAGATGCTGTCTGGAGGCTAGTATCCAGCAGGGTCCTGTGGGGGTTGTGAAGGGCCTTTCCTGTTCAGCATCTCAACCAGGGACCTGGAGGAGCAGATGGAGGTGACATGCAGCCCTGGAGCAGGGGCAGTTCTGGGGCATGGTCTTGGGTGCTGGTGGGCACCAAGCTGAGCTGGGGCTTCCTACTTGCCTGGGCAGCAAAGCGTGGCAGTGGTGCCTGGGGTGGTGTGAGCAGGACATGGTGTGAGAGCCAGAAGAGGGAAAGGACTGTCCCCTCTGCTTGGTGCTTGTCAGACCCTGTCTGGATACTGGTGCTAGTTTGGGTCCCCAGCACAGGAACAACACTGACAAAGCGGTTGGAGGTGAGAGGAGACCACCAAGATAGTGGGGCTGGAGCCATTGCCCTGAAAGGAGAGACTGCAGGACCAGAGCTGGCTCATCTGGGAGGGGTGTGTCTTTAGGGGAACCAATAGCATCCCTGGCACTGATGGAGATGGAGAAGATGCAGTTCATAGTGGTGGGAGGGTGAGAGGCAGCAACACAAGGCTCAGGCTGGGGATAAGGAAAAGCCTTCTTGCTGGGGGAACAGCTCAGCAGTGGAGCTGGGGCCTGGGAAGGGTGCCTGTCTTCATCTCTGGGCATTCCACACTCTGACTGGGTGAAGCCCTGAGCAGCCTGGTCTGACCCTGCTGCTGAGCCTGCTCTGGAAACGTCCCCAGGTCCCTGCCAGGCTGAGCTGCTCTGTAATTCTGTGAATGCATCATATGCCTTGACTGGAAGTATCTTTGCAATGACTTTACCTTCTTTACCTCAAAGCTTCACTAAGCTACTAGGGAAGGAGGAAGCAATATCAGTAACACAAAAGCAGACTCCTGGAAAAGTCATATTTGGAGCATCAAGGGGTAACATGGAGGGTTAACACTGAAGTAAAAGTAACTGCAGTAGCCAAATTACAAAATCCAGTGCCATAGCAGGCAGCACTTTAGAGAATGTGTCAAAAAAAATATGCCTTAAAGGTCAGATAGAAAAATAATTTTTGAGAACATCTCAGATTAAAAAAAATAATTTGTGAGAACATCTCAAGCCAAAGGGAAGGGATGCCATCCAGAGGGACCTTGACAGGCTGGAGAGGTGGGCCAATGCCAACCTCATGAAGTTCAACAAGGCCAAGTGCAAGGTCCTGAACCTGGGTCAGCACAACCCTAGGCACAAATACAGGCTGGGGGGAGAATGGATTGAGAGCAATCCTGAGGAGAAGGGCTTGAGGGTGGTAGTACATGAAAGCTTGACATGACCTGCAGGTCAAGTGAGGTTCTCCTCCTCCTCTACTCTGTTCTCATGAGATGACACCTGGAGTACTGTGTCCAGTTCTGGGCTTCCCAGTTCAAGAGGGACAGGGATATATTGCAAAGAGTCCAACAGAGGGCTACGAGGATGATTAAGAGACTGGAACATCTGTCATACAAGGAAAGGCTAAGAGACCTGATGCTGTTTAGCCTTAAAAAGAGAAGACTAAGAGGAGACCTTATTTATGTCTTTAAATACCTGAAAAGTAGATATCAGGAATGGGCCTGTCTCTTTTCAATGGTGCCCTGTGATAGGATGAGGGGAAACAGCACCAAGTAACTACACAGGAAGTTCCACGTCAAAATGAGAGAAAACTTCTTTACTGTGAGGGTTACAGAGCACTGGAACAGGCTGCCCAGGGAGGTTGTGGAGTCTTCTTCTCTGGAGACTTTCAAGACCTGTCTGGACATGTTCCTGTGGGATCTGCTCTAGATCTTCCTACTGCAGCAAGAGGGTTGGACTTGATGATCTTCAGAGGTCCCTTTCAACCCCTATGATTCTAGGAGCCACTAGTGTGCTCTTGCAGCCCAGAAGGCCAGTTGTGTCCTGGGCTGCATCAAAGGAAGTGTGGCCAGCAGGGCGAGAGGTGATTCTCTGATCTAGAGAGGCCACACCTGGAATACTGTGTCTGGAGCCCTCAGAACAGGGAAGATATGGAGCTGTTGGAGAAGGTCCAGAGAAGGGCCACCAAGATGATCAAAGAGCTGGAGCACCTGTGCTATGAAGACAGGCTGAGAGAGTTGGGGCTGTTCAGTCTGGAGAAGAGAAGACTCCAGGGAGACCTTATAGCAACCTTCCAGTACCTGAAGGGCCTACAGGAAAGCTGGGGAGGGACTTTTCACCAGAGAAGATAGTGATAGGACAAGGGGTAATGTTTTTAAACTGAAAGAGAGGAGATTTAAGTTAAGTATCAGGAAAAAATTCCTCACCATGAGTAACGCGCTGGGATAGGTTGCCCAAGGAGGCTGTAGAAACCCCCTCCCTGGAGGTGTTCAAGGCCAGGTTGGATGAGGCTCGTGCAGCCTGGTCTAGTGTGAGGTGTTCCTGCTCATAGAAGGGAGGTGAGAACTAGATGATCTTTAAGGTCCCTTCCAACCTTAACCATTCTATGATTCTATGATTCTAGGTGTAAGGATGCAAAAGTTCCAAACCACATTCCTTAGTATTCATGCAGTGAGATCTGTCTAGGGGTTTTCTGGGACATGTTTGTGAGCACTACAATGAAGATTAGATAAAGGCCATTTCAACACACCAGGGAAGCATGCACTAAGGTGCCAATAAGTTACTCAAATTTGATTAGCAACTACTAAATGGAGTAATTCTACTTACTATTAGTTAATAGTTGCATAACCCACTCATAAACTTTGCAAGCCTTGGAAGCTTTCCACAAGTAAGAAATCATTAATAGATTTCATTTGCCTACAGTATTAGATCAAATTACAGTAGGCACCAAGTGCATTCACATCACTATTGGATTGTTGTGGAAAATTACAGATCTCAAGAGGCCCAAGCCCTGTTTCATTGCTGATCTAATAAATACCATATAACCAGTTATAACACTAATGTGAAAATTATTTATCCTTGTTAGAAACAGAAAAATGCTCCAAGAACAAAGCTCTGTGTACACCTTAAGGTATACAAGGAGACAAGAACATTTAGCATTTGGAAAAACGTACTTGCAAGATAATGACCGACTGAAATTACCATCAGACACCAACATGCATTCTGCATTTATAGACAGATCAACTAATAGGATTCACATGGATTTAAACAGCATAAAAATGTTCAATGAAATAGGAAAGAAAAAAAAATACAAGATTAAAAACCCACAAAGATAAGGGATGTTTTAACAGAGAAAGGTGAAAGACAAAAACAAACTAGGGTGCACATTTCCAGTTTCCCCTCCTCTGTTTCCCACTGTAGTATTCAGGCAGCTAAACTGTGTTTGATTACAAGATTGATTTGGCAGAAAACAAATCTTGGTTTGGTTTTACACCTCTCTCAGGTTAATTTTCACAACAATGAGCTTCCCAAACCAAATCACAACATAGTCACTCTGCAGGAGGGAGAAGGAGGAGGACTGCAGAACTGCTATAATCTTGATTTATAAACGATTAAACCACTTTATTTTGAAGCACAACTTTAGCTTAGATACCCACCGTTGTATCTTCAGGTTAGCAGGAAGCATTAAAATCCTCCCTGCATTTCCGCTTCCAGAATATCTGCAAGTATCTTTGAATGTCTGTTCTTCTGCTCTAAAGCAAAATGAACATACGACCATTTTCTCAGAGGGCGTTGTCTCTTTCTGAACAGATGCTCCACAAATAATTTACCCTACTTACAAGGCCAACACTATTCAGCATATTGGTCTTCTACTGTGATCTGATTCAAAGGAGTAACTTAACTGCTTTTTGGAAAACGTGACTCTTTTTTTACATAAATCTTAGAAGCAAAATGAAATGTGAAACATAATGAAAAAGTCAACAATTATGTTCATGTAGGTGACAGGACTAGTTAACACCAGCTTTCTAGTTGTTAGTTATCAAAAACTCATGGTTCTCTGTTGCTTCAGCCTTCAAAGGCCTTTAACACAAAACAAATATCAAGGAAAGTTAAAATGTTTGTTCCAACAACTGATAATTTGCTATTACCAACATACAGTATCAAAACTTGTTTGGGAACACCAGCGGAACAACAGATGTTGGATTAAAAACAACTAATTAAAACAAACCACAAAATACTAGCTGTGCAAAAAACACCCACACACGAGTTAAAAGCACCACAGTGATAAAATTTTTGCTGCTTGCTTTTCCAAAAGCAGGGACTCAGAATGCCCACTACAGAGAAGATGAAAAAAAACCCTTCAGAAAAACTTTCATCAACGATGTTTCTATTACCCTCTTTCTTCTGCCTTTGTTTTGTTCTTCCTCTTTCCATAAATCTTACTGTTCTCCATTGATTTCATCTCATTCTCCTTCATGTCAGCCAAGACGCAGCTGGAATTGTTGCCCACTTAAAGGCCCAATTTCTGCCTTTAAGATTAAGACAAACTCATCCACACAAAATATTTGAATAAAGTTTTCTATTGCAAATAAATTAAAGGTTGTCACACAATTTACTTTACCCAGATTTATCCTAAACATTCTCCAGTGTACCCCCAGAAATGCTGCTCCAACAAGATATGAGGAAGGTTATTCTTGTTTCATTAGTTTATTTGACTAGGAACATCCATCACTAACTTTAGGTCATTATGAAATTCATAGATATATATTTATGTCCTCCTACCTGATTAAATTCTGGCACACCTGGCATCCTGCAGGACACCTGTGATAAAAGATGGACAATTAATATATGTTTGCATGAAAGAAAATATAAGTAATGTTATTCATAAAATACTTACTAATCTGTGACAAAATTCTCATCAACAGTATTAAAGGCTGTGTTATTTTACGCTCACCCCTGCAAGATGTACCGGGTAACTTCAGTGATTTGTCTGGCATTTTGCATCTCAGGCTGTATATCAAATGTGCATTTCAAAGATCAGTTATCAAACCTACCTGTTATACAGTATCTATGCATTCAAAACAATATGATCAAAATTACAAGATTGCATCCTCAGAATCTGATCTCATTGGATTTATTTAGGCAACACCACCCAATAGATACACAATCTGAAATACCAAATTCTGTTTGCTTTCCTAAACATGGGTGGAGGATTTGATCTTTTTCTTACTTTTCTCACAGTCTATGCCAGACTGAATAGAAACTTGTGTCTCAGAAGACTGCAATCAGCAAAAGGCACTGTTCTGATAAAGGGGGAAAATGATGGTAACAGCATTAAGATTTTCTGTGCAGCAGTAACTCCATGTAACTCCATCTCTCAGTTGGATGGATAAAATTATTTTGGTTATTGGATTGAGAGCAACATATTTAAGAAGAATAGGAAAGTCAATTGTTGCCAATCTCTAACTCAAACTAACAGCCTTATTTAAAACAAACTGGTGACAGGATCTGTGAAAACCCATCAACACCAGCAATCGCCTACTGAGGCATTGCAAAGCTGTGAAGAACTTAATCCAAGCTACACACAAAGCCCATAAAAATTATTATGATTCTTCCTAAATGTAACAGAAAGAAAATTAAATGAATTGGTTTACCTGTGAGGATCTTTTGAACTAGGGATGATGTATGCACATTCTCTCTTACTGAAGACCTCTTCAATCCAAGATTTGGGGGACTGAAAAGACATTGCGAACATAAATGTATTCTCAAACTTAGGTGCACAAAGCCAAAAATTGCACCATAACATCTGCATGATTGTATATGCATAATGCATAATGATTCCCATCACAATGTTAGATGAAACCAAACACTATAAGCTGAAGCTACAGCTCTGAACAGGCCTAGCCCTTCACCCCCAAACTTTACACAGTTCCACAAAAAGATTAGTATTAAAATGTATTTCCACCCCTCTCTAAAAATCATGAAAATTATTGAGAGGATCTTTCAAACACATGTCAAATAGCCAGAGTGGAAAGGATGAATCAGAACTACTTAAAAGATTGCACTTCTTCTCTGCCAGAAAGCTAGCAAATGCTGATCTTGCTAAAGCTGTATCAAAAAGCCAAGATTTATTTTTTTTTTAACTGAAAGAGATGGTTTATTCTTTCTTTTATTATTCTTAACAGAGTTAAGAATAGATTCATCCTGGTTATATATCTGCTGAACTAGGACCACAGTGAAATGCAAAAGCAAGGACCAAATAATAGACCTAGAACTTAGTGTGTATGTCAGCCAAGTTTTTCCCACTGGCCTCCAGGAACACTGTGAAAACTGTCTCAGTGAAGCCTGTTGCAGTTGAAAAAGCTAAATAGTCAGTGTTGTCCACAGATTTTTTTTCAGATACTCTCACTAGGAGTCTTTGAACTTATTTTCAGGTCTACCAGGATCAAATCCATGGAAAAGAATGATAGTTTCTGGACACTGAACTTTGAAATCTCAGGGATGGAATCTAGTACAACCTCAAAGCAAAGAATTTTTTCTTGTTGTCAAAGAAATTTTTCATGTCTTCGATGAAACAAGATGAACAGATATTTTATCATAAAGTACCAGCCATTTAAACACTAATACTAGGCACTATTATCTCATTGTTCCTCATGTTCATCTTACTCTCAATCTGTTTTTGATCGTATACATGGAGAGCAAACTCCCTAGGACAGGGCACAGTAGGGTCCTAGTAATCCAATAATAAATATTGACTCCTTCTTCAGTCCTCATGTTTAAACACAATTGTTCTCCTGCAAAATGCATGCCCTGTAAAAATGGTTAAGGTAAGTATTTGTCTCAACACTTGTTTTGTACAACAACTTAGAAAACAATTAAATTAATGAGAATGCCAGTAATTCAACTTCTTAAGAGTACTGCTGCAGGCATTTTTTTGAATGGAGTTCAGCAATAATACTTACAAAAGAAAATACCTCTCTTTTATCTCCTGAATGTAGTTTTGATCCTTAATAAAGCAGGCCTGTTTGAGGTGGTTTTTTTTTACTTCAGCTTCACATTGCTAAATACCACCACATAATCTCCCAGCCAGTCATGCAGTTATGGAGGGTCACAAGCTCCCTGAGTGAACTATCATCTTGCCTGTAGATGGGGACCCAGCTTCCACCAAGACAAATGGGAGTTCTACCTTTGATTTTAAAGCACTCTGAAACAGGTTCCCACTGACAAAGATGAAAGATATAATTAAAAAGCAGTTTGCTGGTATTGGTGTGCTTGCATATTATTCTTGGAGCAACTAATTTAATTGTGTCTGGTTGAGCTTCAAATGAAGGAGTAACAGCGTGGAAGATCCTCCAGGCTGGACAGAGCACAGACATGCAAGAAAACTAATTATGTTAGAAAGAGTCCTACTGAAGACAAGGTGCTAAAATGAAATCCAGAGAAAAACCTTGGAAACAGTAAAGCATATTTCACCACCTGAGGGGAGGCACACACTACTCTCAAAAACCTTTCAGTAGTACTCTTGTTAGCAACCAATATTGCTTCATGCTCCCTAAGCCACTTCATTCTAGTTGTTAGAGTTACAAAGCAAAACAGTGTAATGTTGCTAACATTACAATATCCTGGGACACTGATTTTTCTGAAATTCATTACTCTTCTCATAATCGGTTTTCAATCAGAACTAGGGAGCAAAAATTATTTTTATGTCATGGAATGCTCTTGATAAGAATGAACTTTACTAAATTTTTCATTAAGAGGAATGGGTGTGACAGAACAGCTAAGAGGATGACAAGCTTTACAGCATTTGCTGAGGTAAAAGAACATCCAGCTGCTGTCACTTTAATTTAGTAAGAGCGCAAGTATTTCAAATTAATTTTGAGCAAATTCTTGGCATCACACAGTCTCAGGTAGCTTCCCTTAAGCTACATTACCTGCAGCATGACTTATCCTGGAAATCAAGTGCTATCTGGGTATCTGTACAGGTGTGAAGGTCAGCACTGGAGATACGCAGCCCAGTGTAACAAGGACACATTGATTCAGCCTAGGCACCAACAGCAAAAATTGCCAGCTAAGCAAGACACTGGCACTCAGCTAATCCATATATGAATTCCCTTGAAAAGGGGTGTCAAAGAAGCTTTTTATCTCTAAAGTTTAGTAACCCTCATCATGAAATTACACATAAAGACAAAACAAAAATCAGTAATTGTAAAGGGGGACAGGACATTCAGTACAAAACAGCTGTTTGGTGTGGTTACCTCAAACCAAAATATAGCTAAATTTACAGTCCTCAGGGATGGCAGTACACCATGTGATTGAAGTTACAATATGGGAGATTAAAAATTTCTTCTCTACTATCAGCTTTCTGAACATCTAAACTGTCTCCTGAATGTTGTGGTTTGAGCCCAACACAACAAAGAGCCCCATGGCTGCTCACACACACACACTCCAGGATGAGGAGGACAAAGCTCATGGATTAGAGTCACAGGCTGGTGGTTCCTGCTGCTACCTCCTCCTCAGGAAGAAGGATTCCTTACTGTCCTTCCCTGCTTCTCCATGGGATTCCTCCCATGGGAGAGAGTCCTCCACGAACCTCTCCTTCATGAGTCCTTCCCACGAGGTCCAGAGCTGCTCCAGCCTGGGCTTCCCACAGAGTCACGGGCTGCTTTGGGAACAAACTCCCCTGGCACCGGGGTCTTCCAAAGCTGCGCAATCAGAGTCCACTGGCAGCAAATCCTCTAGCCACAAAATCCAAGTTTACTGGCCAAGTTCACCCCTCCTGGCAACCCTAGGGAACATTCTACCATGTTCCTCCATGAGCACAGGGCGAGAGCTGCCATCTCGCCATGGGCTGCAGGGAAACTTCTGCTTGGACACCTTCTTCTCCTTCTTTCTCACCAACCACCAGCACTGCTCTGCTTCTCCTTCCCCAGCACAGCTGCTCTTTTTCTTTAAGTGCTCTCTCTGCTCAGATCTTAGGTCAGTTCTTTCGCATGTTAATCGCAGAGGAGCATCTATTGTCCCTCTAATGGCTCCTTGGCTGGTTTTGGAGCAGAAGGAGCTTCTCAGTTTCTTACAGAGCCACTTCTGGACCCTTCCCCAGCTACTAAAAAATCCACCAAACCAAGCCAGAACACTGAAAAACACACCTGATTTTAAAACTCTTTTTTCAGATTTTGTAGGGTGGTTGGGGGTTAACACAAAAAATATCACTGCTTAAAATTATGTATTTTTTGTATATTCTTTTCTAATTTGGCCCAATACCAACTGTATTTTTCTGTAACTGAGGAAGTAAGGGCAGCTACCAACACATGCCTCAACTGATCAGGCAACTCTAGTCACCACAGGCTGAGCTCAAGGTAAAATAGATTAAAGCAAATGGAAAAAAGCCCTACAGCTTCAGATCACATACCATGACTCTAATATTGCTACTGTAGAGCTCACTGACAAAATTTCCATTTGTTTCAGAGGAAGGAGATCACTATGAAATGTATTTGACCTTTCAATCCTGAAGCACCAAGGATGTACCTCACCTAGTTGCACAGACACTCCTCTAGCACAACATTCATTTCAGTTAACTCTACTTCAGGATTCTCAGTAAAAAGGACTGAAAACAACATTTCAAAGGGCATCTGATACAATACTGGGAGTTTTCACTTTGCCCTGCAAGGAAAAAAAGTATCTTCCCATACAGATATTTCATTATTTATTTTTGCTTATTTACATAAAGAGTTTGCTGGTATGTTGCTCATTCGTCTCCTTGCTTCCTGTAATTTTTACATTTTAAAAGTGGTACTTAACATATAATATGTGTATGACTCTGATGCAGCCTCTAACATTAACATTTATTTTCATCTCAAGTGATAAACGTGTGAAAATAGAAAAAAATATAATTTACAAAGTCCACTTCATAACTTCCTTATGAAGTTCCTGAATAGATAGTACCAATTAAAAATTTATATAATGAAATTCCAATCAAGCATGGGAAAAAGTACAATACAAGACTGTATCACTGTATTTCATCTTGTGAAGCACAATTTTGAGACTGAAACATTGTAAGAGAGTACATATTTACTGTTGTTCTTAATTTTATATAAGGCAAAATCTTTGCGTGACATGCAAAATCTACAACAAAACAATAACATTCATTTCTTAATCTGAGGCTTTACTTAGGTTTCTAAGCTAATTGTATAATCAGGAAAAGGGTCTTAAACCATCACACTTTTTTTACAGTCATCCATGACATAAAGGCTGGACAAGTAAAAATAAAGGAGGAGACTTCTGAACTGATATTTGCTCTTTGTTCTTAACTTTGTAAAAGACCACTACAATGTGTATATCTCCTTTCATAAAACTCTGGCTAATTTTTCAAATCTGTTGTCATTTAGTTAAACTGCAACAATAAATTAAAATTCTTCCTGTCACCGCAGTATGGTACATGCACCTCACCAAGTGTCAAACCATATCCTTTCTGCCACCAAACCTGAGACAAAAACACACCTACATGTTCTTCTGAATAGCAAATTTATGTTCTGAGATACAGAAGACCTGAAGCTAAGTTTATATTGCAATTTTTCTTCTAGAAAGTCCTGAGACTTTTGTTTGGGAGTTATGCCTTCTCATTTCTTGCCAGTCTGAGGATTAGGATTGCTGCTTATACTTCCCTGACACAGAAGAGGCTTTGGAGATTTTATACTGATTTAGTCAATTGAGTGGCAAGAGTTTGGCTCTGAAATT